TCACTGTCCCCACTGCCCGCAACCTGCCACAGTGGGAAGTTCACCACCACCAGAGGAGAAAGGGGCTTTCCATTGACTACAACCAGCGCCAAGCACAGCCAGGAAAAATTATCCAGCTGGAGAGTTGAACTGGACTCCACAGCTGGAAACCAGTGCATAAAGGAGGACAACGGGTTCCTAACACAGCCCACGGCTGCACAAACACTAACTGCTTATTAGCTAAGTATTTTACAAGCTATCTACTATTTTGGCAGGCATTGATCCCTGGAATAAACCAGAAGGGGAGCTGTGAACTTTCACATGACTGATGCTATGTAAGGTCTGGGCCCAGAGGCTTCAGCCTTCAAGCCTAGCAGTTTGGTGCGACTGGACTGTCTTCTCCCAGTGCAAGTCTGGCAGGATTACTCACAATCTTGAAATGAGCGCTTTCCTACTCAGTATAGGACAGTGCTTAAAAAGACACCGAAGCCCTTAGGCAAACCGGACAATTTGAAGATGTTTGTAGAACAGATTTGACAAACAGATGTTGTGGATATATGAGGTTGTTTAGAAGGGAGAGAAATCCTTAGTATTTATTTCTCGTACCCGAGATGTATCCTATGTTTTTCAACCTTTAACCGGCTGCACATTACTCCAGTATTGCTTCAAGCCATGGAGAAAGCTAGTACTTTCTTGTTTCCTTTGACTGCCATCTGTACTCCGTATGTGTACTTCAGCCCAGTCGTTGTTCATCCGACAGCACCGTGAGCTACCTAGTAGCCTTGTCAACTGGTCTTAGAGAAATCTCTCTGCCATTGCGTGCCAACAGCAACATACTGAAGTTTTAAGGCATGAAAATAAGGTGCATTGATATGGCTCCAAATGAAGCTGGCGTAAATATTTTAGTTAGGCATCCTGGGATCTTCTCAAGATTATTCGGTAGTTCTTTAGAAAAAGCCTGCAAAATCTCTAAAGGGCAGCTTGTCTTCTGCATACCTCATGCAGAAGGCAAGCACATCTAGCACACGTTTGGTCTTATCGCTACCCACGCAGCAAACCATTTTCTCGGTTAGTCATCTTTCCCTACCCTCCTTCCCAACGCAAACATTGCTGCTTAGCACTCGTGAAACTCACCTCTGCTGTGTCTCTTGCACAACTTATTTCAACACGGAGAGTTGTGCCACAATCGCAGTCGACACGCAATTCTCCGGTCGGTCTCTGACAGTGATCTTACACATCAGCCCCGCTTCCTGGGTGCGTGTGTAACTTCCACACAGATATATGCCCCTCACAGCAACCCGGTACTTGTACAAGCCCTTCACTGATTTCAGCTTCTTCCTGCAGATTGACTGGGTTGTTCTTACTACGTGCCTCCCTCTACAACTCTGCCAGTCACATAAGAGTGACACTGATAAACACATCTGTCCCTGACCTGCATATAAAACCAGCATCTCATCTATCCATGCACCTATCATCACTGACTATATGTATTTACCTGTGCCTCCTCCTTGCTCTCCCCTTGCACTTAATTCCCACCCTGCTCTCATGCTGCTGGGCATGCATGTACAGCCCCTTGTGCATTTAAAGGGCTTCCCTTAAACTAAGAGGCAGATAATGACAGATCATATAAGCCATCATAAGCTTTTTCCCACTCATCACTCTTGCCTCCCCCATAAACTCTTCTCTTTCTCCCAGGCCCCACACCCAGGTCTGCAATCCTTACCTGCACTTCCCTCATTTACTTTGAGCATGCTGTGTGCACAGCTCTCTCTTATTAGACACAGCTTTTCACTCCTTTCACCTGCCCTTCCACAGCCCTTACAAGCAGGCACAAGCTGGCAGGTACTTTCCTGGCCTGCACACCATCGTGTGTCAACCTACACAAAGCTTCTCACCCCTCGTAACATGAACTGCCATTCCCATTCACTTCCACTTCGTGCCCTACAGCTCCTAACTCCGCTCATGTCCTGACACACTTCACAGTTTACTTTTGACCTTAGTACAGCTGTGTGGGTCATTCGGCCCTCCAGGTAGTTATTCCTCCCATTCTTTCTCCTCCCACCCCTTTATATCTTCAGCCATTTCTCCATTGGCACATTTGTTCCATTCTGTCTTGATGCTTCACTTTCAGCCAGTACCTACCACAGATACATAAGCACGTTTGTTATGTCTCTCTTAACAGAAAATCACTCTTTTTTTTGTTTGACTATGTGTTCTTTTCCTCCCACCCCTCTGACACTGTTCTTTGCTTTCCATTATTTTCCTTGAATGCTTCCCCTGTAACATATTGCCTGTTCTTCCCCTATGTTACCCCAGCTTCCCAGTAAGGAGGCATCCTCTGTGTCTTCTGGCACCTTTGTATTACTTTCTCTGTTTGCCTACAGAGTGATACAAAACCAAATTTCCCCACACCCTGTGCTCTCTTTCCCTACACCTCCTCTAAGACACCTTTTGCCCAGGCACCTTTACAGAAAACACAGCCCTTATTTCCTCCTACATTCCTCCTTTTTACCCATTATCATGCTTCTCAAGTCACCGTTCACCCTGCCCCCCATTTCCACTGTCTTGCATTTCCTCACAGCATTTTCACATGGTTTTTTCCCCAGTTCTGTCTCTCCTTTGCGACCAGGCAGAACATATCTATAGATCTACTCCAGCAGGCTTCCAACCTCCAAAATTTCTCTAAGCAACTATATCCTCACATACCTTTATGGGTCCCTATACCATTTTCCCATCACCACAACCTATCTCCATCTAGCTCATTTTTCCCTCTTCATTCCTCTTCTCGGCATGTGTTTCCATCACCACGCAAGCCTTCCCTTTCATACTCTAACACCTTCCTTACAAATACATCCTCATATCTATTTCTTCACAGAATCAAAGGTGTCTCCTTTAGACGCCCCCCACAAGCATCATGTAGCTGGTTATTTTCCATACCTTTCTCCAAATAGATAATAGTTCACATTTTTCTTCCTCCTCCAAACATCCTTTGTGCCCTATGCTTTCACCTTTCTTTCTCCACTCCCACTCCATTTCCTAGCTCCCCTTTGCAGACCTGAGCATCCTTGTATGTCCTTTTCATATCCTCAGCCACCCTCCAGTCTGCACCCTTTCTCATCCCTCTCAAGTGTCACTTCCCCTTCTGAGCTCCTAAACTTTTTTCCACCCACAAAGATCCTCTTTTTCCAGTTGACCTGCAGCAATTTCCTTTTTAAGCTGATCACCTTTGCATGGCTCACCTGCCTTCATTACCCCAAAACACAACACTTAGTACATAGTATTTTCAGTGTGTAACACTTTCCCTCCAAACTCCTTCAATCTATGTGTACCATTTAGTTCTTCTTTCCCTGGAAAAAAAACCCAACACCTAAACCTACATGTATTGCATACCTCAACATTGCATACCCTTCTGCACAAGGCATGCCCCTCCTGGGCATATACATCCTCTTCTCCTCATATTTTGGGTCCACCACCTGCAATCATATCTAGTTTTCCTCCTCCCACCATGCTCCTGGTACTGACACGTGTATCTAAGATCAGTCTTTTTACTACTAGCAGCTGGAACCGTGCCGAACTCTCTTCCATTCTCTGCTGCTTTTGTCTGCCTTGCCACAAAGTGAGTTTTTCATTTTTTTTATTATTATTAGATTTTCCTTTTTCTTACATCTTATTTATAGGTGTTTCTTCTACCACTCCTCCACTTACAGGCATGCACAGATCAGGTATTTCTGTGCTTGAGAATGTCTCTCCTCATGTCTGGGTATTTTCCTGAAGGCACAATGTAAAGGCAAACTTACATACCATTTGCACTCCTCATGCAACAAATCACATGAGCCTAAGAGCAAAGAGTGCTTTCTGAAAGGTTGTAGCTCATAACAATTGACTGGACCGTATCACACACATCCTCGTCTATTTAAAAAGGGGGGAGGGGGAGAAACCCCCCTCACACACACAGAGTCATCTCTAAATAACTGGTTTTGCAAGATAGGACCCAGAGAATGTGCACATAGCAGCCCTATTCAATCCAAAATATCCATCTCTCCGGATACTGCATATTTATAGTTCAAGAGATAGGACCAACGCAGAGCTTTCCCGTTTATTTTAATGAAGGATTAAGAACTGATCAGAAAACTATCTAAACCATTCATGGACTTTTTCCCCTCTTGGCTAATAGCAGTTTGGTGTCTCCATAAGGACTCGCCAGCAACTGACGCTTTAAGCTGCATTTCAGCTGTTTAGATGAGAAACAGCTTTCTATTTTGCTCTCTATATGTGCGTCTGTGTTGATTAGTTGTGTGCTGCATTCCTAGAAGGCACTTACCAAATGCTGGAAATTGCAGCGTAAGAATAGTTTTCCTGCCATCCTAGCACAAAGTGAGTGTATCTTTTTCACCTAGACACAGATGTTCAGGGAATCCTTTGATCTCCTGTTCCTCACGGAGAATTTAGTGTTGGGGTTTAAGGTGAACAGGGATTGATTCAAAGGTCATGAATAGGGTTTTCCGTGTCTGGCACACACATAAAAAAAAAAAGAAAGCTGCAGTTAAGTTAGTTACCTGAGACAGGCGAGGTGCAGAAATTGGTAATTTTGACTTTGCTTGTCATGGACTCTAGCTTTCCCTGAGGGCAAGCATGCTACGTACGTATTCTGAGGCTGGCTCTTGCAATCCACTCTCAAGATTTGCAACCCCTTTTGTTATATCTGAAGTTGCTGGTTTCCCTCTTGAAACAAAAAGAAGAGTCTCCTTTGCTCTTGCCTCTTAAATCAGATTCCTTTAGCACCTCATATTTCTCCTCTGCTGTTTTCTTGCCAGGGACCTGAACAACAGCATGTAGAGCAGGAGGAGAGAGGAACCTCAGGACTAAAGCAAGCTATAGGGCAAGTAGGGGTGGGGGAAGGAGGAGGCACAATGGGAAAGGCAACAACATTTGGGACAGATCTACTGCTTGTGAGACCCCCCCCTCCTCCCCATTATACTTCTTTAAAGGACCCC